TCTATTCTAGGTATCTCTTGCTGTATAAAAGACATCCCCAAATGCTTGAGTCTGCACTGTGGGCAAGTCTCAGTGGGGATGGCTTACCTCTGTTCTGCATGGAATCTGCCAAGTTGTTCTCTTTACTCACATGGCTGACAAGTGGGGTCCTTCCCACCTGGGCTTCTCCATGGGGTGACTTGGGCTTTCTTACAGTATGGCAGCTGGGTTCCAAGAATGAGTGCTCCCAGAGACAGGAAGGGAGAGCTGCCAAAGTGTAAGGTCTGGGTCCTGAAACAGGCATAGGGTCACTTCTGCCGTATCTATTGCTCAAAGCGATCACAGCCCCTACCTTGACCCCAGGGCAAGAGATACAGATTGTCCCCATCTTGGGAGAAGTAGCAAAGAATTTTCCCTTTTAATTCATCTCAGCACCCCGCTGTCTCTGCCGCATGGGCTCTAACTCTTCCTTGCCTCACCTCTAGGCCTGCAGATTCTGCCTCTCCTGGAGGTTCCCCCTGTCCCCATTATTTCCCCATGGATTACTGCAGTCCTCCTCAAACTCATTTCCCCATCCCCAGGCTGCACCATCCACCGCCTCCTGGCCACTCCCTATATTCCTAAAGCAGTGCCCTCTCTCTGTTGCCCTGCTCAGAAACCACGCATGTCTCCCTATTTCTCACTGAACACTTTCCAAGCTCCTAGGCAAAACATTCAAATTCACCTTACAATCTAGCCCCGTCCCATTTCCTCCAAGCACCTGGACCACACTTTGGCCTCTTCTGCTCAAAGTTCCTACGTACTGGCACTCCAAGCCTGCACATATTCACTCTCGCCACCTGGCAAGTTTCTCTATCTCCACTCCTGTTGGACTCCTGCTCAATCTTCAAAGCCCACTGCAAATGCCCCTGCTCCACAAAGCCTTACTCTCATTACTTATCACATTAGTCTTATTTTCATTGCATGTTGAGGCATGTTCTGGCTTAAATCCTCATTAGCAATGACGTGTTCCCTTGAAGTTGGGCCCGTGTTTCTAACTCATATTTCTTTCACCAATTTAATTGTTTATTGAGGCCTGGAGCCAGCTGCTAGGGATATGACAGTAACCAAGACAAGCTGCTTCCTGTGTCCAGAGAGCTTACATTCCAGAGGGTGAGACAGATGGCAAATAGAAGAACCAAGAGACATAATGATCAAAGATTAGGAGATATGCTGGAAGGCAAGAAAGGCAGGCGGGGTGCTGTGACCCAGGGACCCAGAATTTCCTCTTTTCAAGAGCAACCAGAGACCTGGATTTCTACATACTCTCCTAATTTTAAAGGTTGCAAGGTCAATTTTTCTCCTCTGCTGCTCTCAGCTTCCCTCCTTTCCTAGCTTCTCACTCTCTCTAGAATACCTGCTTCTCTTCTTCCTAGTTACCCCACCAGCACTCCTCCCCCAACTTAGGGTGCCCTACCTGCAGCACCACCCCTAAGACACTCAAACTCCTCTGCGGCTCCAAGGCCCTGGGCATGCTCTGGCAGCAGCTAGCAGGAGGATATCCACAGGGAGCCCACTGCCTAGGATGCTGGGGCCAGTGAGTATTGGCTAGCTGAGATCCTGAGCCAGCCACCCTGAAGTTGGCCTCCTGGAGGTGAGACACCTGGAGTCCCCATGGCCACAGCATTGGGAGCCCAGCATCCCGAGGCCTCTGTAGACTAACTACACATCTAGACATCGACCTGGAAGAAGTGGGGAGCCAGAGGAGTGAGACAGGAAAGGAGGTGGGGGGCCCTCAGAAGACTTCCTCAGATTGGCCCCCCTGCTCTGATATGGCCATGAGGGATAGGTCTCCACCTTTAGGGACCCCCTGGGCAAACCCTGCCAGGGGAGAGTATATGCTTTCCGGAGCCAGTTCCCAGATACAAATCCTGGCTCTGCCACTTCCTGGCTGGGACCTTGGACAGCTCCCTTCCCCTCTCCAGGCCTCAGTTTCCCATCTAAACATGGGGAATCATAGCAGCACCCACCTCATAGAATAGTTTTGAAGATGACATGTACCTGGCACACAGTGGTTCTTGGTAAAGGGCAGCTTTCCACAGCCTCTCCTGTGTAGGGCCCTGCCAGGCCCTCTCGAGGAATTGCTTTGCTGAGCAACATCCTTCCATCTATGTTTTCCAAGACCTCTGAATCTGAGAGGCAGCTTCTGCCCATTGTAATTATTTTGGCTCTGGGTATTGCCGGCTGAGAGAGCTCAGGCCTCTGAAGGGCCCAGGGTCCTGGTGACAGCTGTCATGTCTCAGGCCGGAGGAGTACAGAGCAGGGGGTGCTGCCCTTCGTCTGCACCTGCTGCTCCCAAGCCCTGGGAGAGGGGCATCTTGGCTTACCACTCCCAGGATTGCAAGACCAACTCAGCCTCATTCTCAAAACCCAGAGCATCTTGGGTGGGAGTCCTGGTACAGAGTCCCAGGCAGCCCAGGTAGGGAGCTGGTGTCAGGCCCTGGAGAGGGGTTTGGATGATCAGCAATTGGAAGCACTAGAAAGTTAAGGGGCCAGCCACAGCCCAGCGCAGGGGCCTCCGATCTCCTTCACCTCCCAGACCCCCGAGGGCAGAGCCCCAGGGGAGGGGACCCTCAGAGGGCAGGCTACTAGATGTGACACTGACTTCCCTTTCCCCAAGGATCCTGAAGCTTCAGCCCCGGGAGAAGAATCTGCGGGGGAGAACGCCCTTCAGGCTCATCCCTGCCGCTCAGCCTGGCCGCTGTATCCTGTCCGTGATAACCAGCTGTCAGCAGAGCCCTAAGTGGTGGGGCGCACCCGGGTTTGTTTGCCAAGCTCGAGTGTTGGAGCTTCGTGGACCCGCCTGCCCTGGAAGAGAGTGGGGCGGTGCCTCAGCAGGCCAGGTGGCATCTCTGGTTGAGAAGGGACAGAACGCCGGGGTGCCTACCCCATGCAGGCCCACTGCCTCACTGCCCGCACCTCAGGGCACTTTCCTCGTCCCAGGCCAGGAGGAGATCCAGTGGAGGTCACTAGGCAAGGGGCAGCTCGGGGCAGAGTGGAGCACAACAAGCAGAGGAGTTACAGAATGCCGGGTGCTCCGTCACCCAGGTCCACCGCCCCACACCCGCACCCAAGCATAGACTCAGCTATAGAGCTGCGTCGCGGCGCCTAGGGCGGGGTGGGAACTGCCCCCAACCCAGCAGAGGCGCCGAGATCCCGCGCACCCAGCGCAGAGCCTGAGCCTCCTGACCCCGCCCCCGGGGCGGCCAACTTATTGGCATGGCCCCGCCCCAGGCTGGCCATTGGTGGCGGCGGCGAGAGGCCTGTCCTGAGTGGCTGCGGGGTTGTGGG